ACAAGTGTTGCTATTTATTTTATTGACGTTATTGTGTGTAGCTGATCGAAGATAAGGGTAATGTTATGATTAGTTATGCAAAGTAAAGTGGTAGGTGAGAAATACCCAATTGGATAATTGCTTGCCTTGCCTTAGTAGCAACATTATATATTTTTATTTTATTTAAAAAAAAATCAACATTGAACATTAGCATTAGCAATGTTTTAAAGTTTGAAAGAGAATGTTTCCTGTTGTGGTGTTTTGACGAGTTAGCTTTTTGGAAGACAGAAAGGCATGTGATTTTGGCTCATATGATTGCCACTCTTCCGTGACACTCAGGCTCAGCCATCTTCTTGGAACTCGACACGTAGTAACCAATTATAACCCCTAATGTTTATAAATAAATAGTAATAGTATCAAATTTTAATTGAATAAAATGTTTTAAGAAAATAAAAGATTATTAAATGAGCTTTAAAGAAATTTTAGCCAACATGATTTTCACGCTTGCTTCGTGCAAGAACTCTAGAGTTTTTTTGTTGTTGTTGTTTATGTTGATGGCATTAAGCATATTTAAAACATGTTAAGCACAATAGCTCTAGTGAATTGCTAATGCTAGCCCTTAGTTATGCATATTTTGTTTTATGATGGCTCGAATAATACTGCATTCCGAGTTGGTCTTGAAATAATGATTGTGAAAAGGTTATGATTGAGATTATGTGAATGTCATGCTTGTCTTTTGTTGAGGGAATAAATGAGGACTTGTCCCAGAGAGGTAGTTGCCTCTGTGTGAATTTGTAAAACTACAGGAATTTGTGTCTGATCATACATCATGGACATTATGAATTGTGTTTTAATGTATTAAGAAAGTGCTTACTGAACCTAACTGGTGCAACTCACAAAAGGTTGTTAATTATAGACTTTGGAAGAGAATACATTTAGTGAGAAAATTCCAAAAGTTGATGTTGATCCTATATGTGTCGAGACATATTACATTAGTTGGGAGATCTTAAAGAGTTAGTGAGAGATATCTTATTAGTTGAGGGTGTGGTAAATTCTTGTGTCCTAGATTGAGTGATACATGTTGCATTTATTTCTAGTTCACTTTTAGAATGTTTTTGAATTGTTCCACGTGCATATGAGATTAGGCTTGAGCAGTGGTCGGTTTCAAACTGATTCAAGTTCGAATTTCTGAAATCGATGAGACCCAAGTTGCTTTTTCTTCAACCCGCAGCTGATCGATTATTACATTAGGATAGTCAAGTGGTGGTTCTCAGATTGATTGAAGTTTAGACCCATAATGCTTGTTATACTTTGAGTATAAAGTAAGATGTATCTTACTCCAATGTTTGTTCGTGTTTACTTGTGTTTGGGAGGATCTGCATTTGTGAGCAAGACTCTTATAAATGATGTTGATCATGTGTTAGATGAGACATATGCCACATATTTATTGTTTTACTTTTGGAAGGTTTTGTTCTAATAGTTGTAACATTGAGATAAAACTTGGGAACCTTAATCATATGTTTTGAATTTCATTAGCTTTATTTCATTTTGTTATTGTCTTTAGAATGCAAACAATTTCAATTCAATTATGTTATGTGTTTGTATATGTGATAAATTATATTCATAAAAAGGTTTCAAAACATGTCATTTTTAAATAAGTATTCCACGACATTTTAATAATAAATAATTTTGAGATAGAGGATGTTACGTGAATAAATATTCATTTTGTTGCTTGAATTTGAAATATTATATTAGTCCTTTGTACTATGAAAATGTCATATAAGTTTCTAAAATCCAAACTAACAATCACATTAGTCTAAAATTATATAATAAAAAATGTGTAATTAAGTTTAGTAACTTATTTAACATTACAACGCTCATCAATTTTGGGGACTTAAATAACTATTTTCTCATAACTAACTACCTCATTTTAACACACCTGATGGAAGACCATCCTTGAAGACACATGTGGGCTCCATCACTAGGTCCATGGCTAGGAGAGTTGAAGAGGAGGGTGTTCACACACCAAGAGACACTCTCCTCATGATCATAGAGTATTAGTTCTCTCCTAAGCCTCATTAGTATAAAGTTTATTTTATTTTCCAATTTTACCCTTGTATTTTGGGGTGTTTAGGACTTAAAATTTATTTTCCCTTGTATTTCCTATTTTACCCTTGTATTATGGGGTGCTCTAGATGATTAGGGTTTTTAATTTTGGGCTAGGGTGTTATTTAGAGGGTGACGCATGTTTTTGGTGTTTTTGGGTCTATTTTTTGTGTTAGAAAGGCTTAGGCCCAAGTGGAGGGCAAAGGTTGCATGGTCTTATCATGCACCTAGATATAGCCAATCTAAACCCAAAGATTCCATCCTTGGCCACCAAGTTGCATCTAGGGTTCATTTGCATTTCATTTGGAATGCATTTGCCTACTCCAAATGCAACCCTAGATGTCTCCCCTCCTATAAATATCCAACACCCCACACCTTGTAAATACTTTGGAATATATGAATTTGAGTGAGCCTTTTGTGCCTCAAATCCTCTCCTTAGTCACTAGGTCTACACGGCCTACCCCTCCTATCTCTTCCCATGAGTGAGTTTAGGGTTTATTGAGTGACCTTCATCTCCACTTGGTGAAGTGAGCCAACCTAGAACCACCTAGACACCTTCCTCCTCCCTTTTCTCCTATTCGCCCAACCATCACCTTACACGCCCACCTTCCTTTATTTCTCCACCCTTGAAGGAAAGTCCAGCCCCTAAAGCCATCATCTTGGCCTTAGAAAGGAGATTCTTCCCACCTTGGACGTCCATGATCAACTCCTTGGTGGAAGGAGTCCATCAACACCCATTTTCTATTTTGTTTGATGTTTAAATTTTTTTTTTTTTTTACATAGGTGTTGAGCAATCTAATTAGTATTTTAGATTTTATAAAAATTATACTATATCTTTTATGTTAATTAGTATTTCTCTCGTTTATATTTTATATTTTCTCACTTCACAATAAATAATAAAGATATCATAAAAAATATTTAATATTTTATTAATATTATAAAATCACAATTAAAATGAAATAATTTTTTTTTTTTGTTTTGCTCAAACATCAAGCAAAACAAAAGGAAGTTAGCATGTAACTCCCCTCCCTAAAAACAAAATATTGCTATATCCAAATACTTTTTTTTTAGGAAATTATAACCAAATACTTAAAATTTAAAACCCTCAACCTTAACTTCACCAGCAACACTCAAATCGTTGCATAATGTTTTAACTTAAACAGTAGTTTCAAGTTAAATTTTTAGTATATAATTTTGTTAAATATTTGGGAAGTGAGTTTTATTGGTCATTATTTTTACTTGACTTGAACAGAATTGCTATCATTTATATATATATATATATTTCAAAATTTTAACTTAAACATAACCTAGCCATTTTACTCGCAGACTTGGTTCAAACCAAGAGAGAAATAAAAGGAAAAATAAGAGGCAACAAAGAAACGAGAAAGATAAAAATAAAACTTATTAACAAAGAGGTGTTATTTGAATGGATAAAAAAAAATCTTTCTGATCATATAGATGAGTAAAAACGGAAGAAGAAAAAAATATATTAAAAATGTTCTAATTAAAAAATAAATACGTTATTTATTATTTATTATGTAATAAAACGTATTCAAATTTTAAACAAACTAAAACAAAATATATATATATAAATACATTCTCCTCCCCCACTTTCTCCTAGCATCTAAGAAAATAATATCATCCATCATACATATTTCTTTTCCTAAACAAATAATTTACTATTTTCATCTTATTTTCCTTTCCTTTATTTCCTTATCTTCAATTTTCACAAATTCAAACAAAAAGTACGTTGGGGGAGACTTAGAATGGTACAAATATGTTTTGCATAAAACCAGGTCCTATATCATCTAATATTATATTGGACTAAAAATTTTGTTCATACACTTTATATTTTTTTCTTCTAACTTCTGCATAAACAAATTACATTATGATGTCAATATAAGAAAATATTTATAAATTAGTTCCTATCATTTCTCTGAAATTATATTTGCATTAGTCAAATGTAGGTGAGAATTAAAACAAAAAAATATTGTTAAACACTAAAAATCTAACACATATAGTGCATGTATGGATACCCATCGAAAATACACGTAATTGAAGATTTTCGCATCAAATTTGGGAAAGGGACGCAAAAGCTGGGTACACTGGCTCGAATGTTACATATGTCATTCCTTGTACGGATAATCAAACACACCGATAATGTTGGTAAGCTGTAGGAATCAATTTTTAAATGTTTTTCATGTCAAAATCATTTTTTTTTTACATAGGAATTAAAAAGATAAATTTATAATTTAACCTTCATGAATGCCAAATTTTATATTTCTCGGTTCTGATTCATTCATGTGAAAACTATCAGTGTCACTGTCATGTCTCATTTTTCTTCAAGGAGATGTTAATATCAGTGCAATCCAATTAAAATATGCTGAAAATAGAAACAAGCAAGGGCAAAGACTAATCAGGTAACATGGCTTATTTCAGTTTCTCAATTAGATTAGCTAAATGCAGTATCTAAAAGAAAGTTTGTTTGTTTTTTTTGTCCCCTTCTTCACCTAGCTAGCCTTCATAGCCAAATGAAACAAACCATAGAATTATGCATACTGGAATTGCAGAAAGCATGAAATTCTGCAATATTGAGTTGTTGGCAGTGAGTGGTGGAAATGCAATTTGTTAGAAGGCACAGTGATCAGCTAACTCACCCTCTTCACTGGTTGACCATTTCCTGCAGCAACAGTGGATATAAATTGACTGATCAGCCTGGCAAAAGCATAATTATCTTATTTGTTTTGTTTTTCAAAAGAAGAATTCCAGAAAAAGACAAGCTACAAATACATTCTTGTTTCAGCAAAGCAGAATGTTGTAGATAATCTATAATTAGGGAATTATTATGAGCGAAAGATTGTGCAAAAGGTTCCAAGATTTTCTTATACAAAGAAAGAGACAATTCGTTAGAAAATAACATAAGAAGAGACGAATGAAGTACACCAAAACCACTTGATTAAATATTCACGAGAGAGAGACCTGCCCTCCTAGGAAAGGAGCCTCCAAAGTTGCACCCCTCATTGTTTTCTTTATTACTATAAACAAAACCCACCCTCTCTTACTTCTCATCCCAAACTTCTTTCTCACCTCGAACACAAACCATTTTATTTCTCTCTCTCTCTCTCTCTCTTTTTCTCTCTATGTCAATCATGGATGTTAATACTACAACCACTGTACCTGCCGGGCCACCAACTAAGCACCATTCTTCTTACACACAGCATCACTTTCATTCACAAAAACATAACCATAGTAGTCATGGTCATTTCCCCTCCAAAGCCATTCTCATAACCATCGCATTGGTCACCTTAGTCACGGTCCTATTTATCATTTTTGTTGTCTTATTCTTGATCCGTCGCCAAAAGTCTTCCACTAAGAATGGAACTTGCAAAGAAGACAGCAGAGAGCTTCATGACACAAGCAGCAGGCTCATTACTTCAACAACGTTGAATTCTAGCCCAGGTAAGGTAACTAGTGGCACATGTTATCAATTAATTGCAATTTGTCAACAGTATGCTAATTATAGAAGCAGATATCATTACTATATGCAAACTTAAGACTTGATTTCCAGCTATGAATATAACTGTTTAATTTTTCCAGGCAGCACATGATCACATGAATTTGTTACACAAGTATATCATTAATTCAAATATAGATGTGAAGCTAATCCATAAATGCTTGGTGACATTAATTGTAGATGTAAAGAGTGGGTGTCTTCATGGGGGAAATTTGAGCAGGACCCCAGCACCTAAATTTCGAGGAGTCCAAGTCTTCACCTATAGGGAGTTAGAAATTGCCACAGATGGATTCAACGAAGCAAATGTGATGGGTAGTAATGGAGGGCATGGCTTGATGTATAGAGGAGTTTTAAGGGATGGCACTTTGGCAGCAATTAAGTTGCTTCGAAGTGAGGGTAAGCAAGGGGAGCGTGCCTTCAGAATAGAGGTGAGTCAATGCGCTTCATTTAATGATTTCATACATCCTCTGGTTTTTGGTACGCAAAATTCTAATTATTTCTTGTTGTTACTTGTTTTATCTCTCTCCTTTCATTGTGTTAGACCAGTTTGTTCAGAGAGTTATTTTTGTCTTTTGTTAAGTTGAAACTTCTATTGGTTGTCAAACAAAATTTATAAGCCGTAAAGGACAGTTTATGTTAATGTGAAAGGAATTTTACAACCTATCACGTGACAACCTTTTAAACTTTCCGGCTCCTGTTGCAGTTTAGGCCATCATGAAATGACATTTGATCCATAGCAATAATATTTATTGGGGATATAAGTTATTCTCGACTTTTCTAGGTCTAACGCCTTAAATTTTTAACTTTTCAGCATCTTCTAGCCAAGAAGTTTTTTTTTTTTTGAAAGAATGTTAAAGATTAAAAAATCCTTTACAGAACTAAAAAAATTAAGTGATCAAGATTTAAGTCACTTTTGAATTGTACACTACTATTGAATCAAAATTTTGATACAGTGGAACTTATTCCTAGTTCATTAAAATACAGAGAGTAAGACATTTTCTGTCAACCATTATTTTAAAAAAACCTCTGGCGTTTTGCAACCAAATTGGGACCATGTAAATAGGAAGGCAAACCCCTCTTTATCTTTCAATCAGCCCATCCCACTTGCCAACTCATATTATGAGCTTTATTCAAATCCAGCACATGGGTGTGAAGACTAAATGACATTTATTGCAGGTCGATCTCCTAAGTCGCTTGCACTCTCCTTATTTGGTGGAGTTACTTGGCTATTGTGCTGACCAACACCACAGGTTATTGATTTTTGAATACATGCCCAATGGTACACTCCACCACCATCTTCACTCTTCCAACGATCAAACTCAACCGTTGGATTGGTGGACCCGGATGAGGATAGCCCTTGATTGTGCCAGGGCGCTGGAATTCCTACATGAATATGGAGTCTCACCTGTGATCCATAGAGACTTCAAGAGTTACAACGTTCTACTGGATCAAAATTTTCGTGCCAAGGTGTCTGATTTTGGATTGGCTAAGATGGGATCAGAGAAGAGGAACGGTCAGGTTTCCACCCGTGTGTTGGGGACCACTGGATATCTGGCACCAGAGTGAGTAATACGAGTACCCCATTTCATATGTCATTTGGAAACACCCCCTGCCTTATCTTCAGTCTGCACCCACTCCCCAGTACATAACTTGCAATGTTAGAAAACAGAGCCATGCACATGGTCACAGTCAAGTCCCTATCATGCAGGCTGTAAATTTTTTATTTTATGATTTATGGCACATATAAATCTCATATTACAGACAATTCATGATATATTATATTTTATTATTTGCTTCATAACTTATAGCGTAAATTTAATTTATCCCTTGAATTTGGGCATGCTGTAGGTATGCCACGGGTAAGCTAACTACAAAGTCAGATGTTTACAGCTATGGTGTGGTTCTTCTAGAACTGCTAACCGGACGTGTGCCAGTTGATATCAAGCGGGCCCCAGGAGAACACGTCCTTGTCTCTTGGGTTAGTAAATAGCACTCTGTAAATTTTTAAAAGAATAAGATCGATAGTGAGGAAGCTAAGCTGTAACTTAACCATTTCTGATTACGAGTTCTAGGAACTGAGCTTGTAGTACCGAGTGTCATATTTTATTGTGTAACATATGATATTTGTTAATCATCAGGCTCTTCCAAGGTTGACAAACAGAGAAAAGGTGATTGAAATGGTTGACCCAGCTCTACGCGGACAGTATTCAAAGAAGGATTTAATTCAGGTTAAACTTGGTTTCTTTTAATCATTGTTCTCTCATTCTCATCACTATCACTTGATGTCTTGGACTAATAATATTTTTCCCGTTGAGTAACATTTGATTTCTGCTACAATGGAATTTACAGATAGCTGCCATTGCAGCAATGTGCATACAGCCAGAAGCTGATTACAGGCCGCTCATGACAGATGTTGTACAATCACTGATACCACTTGTTAGGAACCAAACCTCTCTTAGTTCATCTAGCTCCCTACGATTTCAGAAACAAACGCCAAGTCCAAGTCATTAGGTGTGGATTACGTCTACGTTCTGTTTGAGAAGAGCAGAAGCGGAGTAGAAATAAAATACTATTCCTAAAATAGTACTTGGACAAACGTTAGGGCCCAAAAAACAAGTGCAATATCACACTTGATGGGGTACCATCGAATTGGCAACTTAGATCAGTGGAATTCCATCATCCCTACTACCTTCAACAGCGGAGAAGAGAGGAGGAAGAAAATGTAAAACACTAAGACAATGAGGATAAAATCATTTGCATTCAGTCATGGACACATTTAGTTCTAGATTTTTTATTTCATTTTAATGTCTATATTTTTTAGATTGGCTCTGTTATGACAAACTTGCTATATAAGAAACATGGTACAAAATAAGAGAAATATGATATTTCTAATAATAATGTCACTAATATGAACATAACATTTCTTCTGTAATAAGATGAAACTTAATATCCATTCAAGAGAGTTTCGTTTCCAGTAAATTCTTACATCCAGTAACTCACGTGTGAAAACAAACTGGGTGATACTTAAGATCAGACAGAAACAATTTTGGCCAACGGAAAACGACCTTAAATATTGAGCTGCATCCCCACTTAGGCACTTGCAACGAGATCGATTTATACTATAGCTTCTTTCTATTTGGCAAATGGAAAAGAGCTCAACTTTAGGCACTAGCATAAGTTGCAATAGGACAACTGTATATTAAAAGCTGATTCACTTTTACTAAAAGGAGAAATACTAACATACAGACGTGAGAAAGGAATAATGCTGACCTGTTTGGACTTATATGACTTGGTCTGGCTGAATGCAACGGATTCCCCAAAAGGCATGTAAGCACGACAGGAAACCCTGCTTGTCATATCAATGGATTTCATGATAAAAAGATCAGCAAAATGATTGAAACCGTCCACCAGAAACGAGATAAATTAATGTTACCAACCCGAACAACAAAGGAAGAGCCAAAACTCTAAATGATGGGACATTATTACGTAGTGTATATGACTATTCGTAACGCAGAGACTTGGAGAACTAGAAGTCCTTTATAACAATCTGGTGGATATATCTTCATTCTTGATTAAATGAACAAATCACTTTTCCAGCGCCATCTTGATAGTGAGGGAAAATGCAATATCCAAGACATGAGCAGAAAATGCCTAGGATCATTAGTTCCTAAGTGGGTTTATAACTCAATACTTGATATATTCTTTTGCCAACTAAACGTTATGTAGTTTTGTATATTATTATTGTAACCTGCAGTAAAATTGAAACCTCCTTTATCCCTTGCGGAAAGATAGCACATGTACCCTTCTAAACCTGTAAAACTCCCAACGCTACCCTAAAATATATGCGGAAGCAGAGCAAGATCCAAAAGCAATAAAAAAAGAATGGCAGAGATAGCTTCTAGAAGAGAAGTTGATAGATAATGGTTCAGAAAAATAGGCTAGAACTGAGAGAAACAGTTAACAAAAAATCCCAATGTGGATTCAGAATCAAGAAAACGATGTAGGCAAAATGTACAAAGATGAGAATATCTCTCAAATCAGGATATTCAAGAGTTCCAACTCCCCCTCCCAACTTATCTGAACAACCAAGTTTTTTCTACCCTTATGACTCTGCCCCTTAACCCTCTTTACTCGTCGTTCCCATTTGATTAAAAACCTCCTAACTACTTAACAGCTATCATATTACAACTAACTGCCTCTTCATTTGTTACAGATGTTTCCCCTTTACACATGCATAGACACATTTTATGTTTCAGCTTCTGATTCTTTGCAAACAATTGATTCTCCTTTTTCCTCCACTTGTGAAGTGCTTTTCTTCTTTCCAACTCTATCAGAATATTTGGCAAAAGCTGCAGAAAGGGCAGATTTTACAGTAACTTCAGGTTCTATCTTCCTACGTTTGCTCACATCTTCTATATCCTCCTGCTTGTCTTCAATCAAGGAGGAAGATTCAGCATCGTTCCTGATCGATGAGACCGGACTAGCTGGCTTGTTCAGGACAGAGGTCTCTGGTATGGCTTGCCGGCTGGATTCCACACGCTTGAAGGGTTCATGAAAAGTGTCAAACAAGCGCTTGACCTGTTATCATGGAGTACAAAATATTCATATTTTTTTGGTTAATATTTCATGGTGGGCTGTGGGCCAACATCATGCAACCAGTACTACAAAAAAATAAGAGCAAATCATTGTCCCATCACATTTTCATCATTAGTAATATACCTTGCGCTCTCCTATACCAGGACAACGAGCTAGATCTTCCATAGATGCACCAATAATGTTAGAAAGAGACTGAAAATACAAGGATACAGCTCGATGAAAATACTTTCGCAAATAAAACCAATCAATATGTGTGTCTCTGCTCGTGTACTAAAAACAACATACATACCCCAAATGTGGTACCAAGGGTGACGACATCAGTCTTGTTAACATGCCGAACTGTTGTAAGGGCATGTGTTAGCTACAGTTGAAAGTACAATAGCTTCAGCACAATTGATAGCCATGCTTAAAATTTAACCAATTTACAAATTGTATCCTTAATGTTTTCCTTTTGAAAGTATTAAAAAACCATAGTAACTTCTAAATAAAAAAAGAAGAAAATTTTCATACACGTGATAGATAATCTGTATCCATTTGGCCTTGAATAATGTCTGCAGGCTTGTTTTCATAGACTTTAATGGTCTCCAAGTAACGCCCACATTCCTCCAGGCTTTATAACAGTAGAATGAAATTATATAATACCAATTAGACAGGTAAGACGAATCTTGTGAGATGCTACTTCAGATATTGAAATTCAAATGCATGCTACATTAATCTCAAGCTCCTTTAAATGGTATAAATTCTGACAAATCAAAAGTTCCGAGAGAAACTAAAATAAGCTTTTCACCTTTCAAAATATATATTCTATAACCGAGTCACATAAGAAAAACAGTTGCAAAATAGAAAGTCACATTAACATTCTTCATCATGTTGCAACCACAAATGCCACATGATATTTTCTAATCTGAGTTTAATAAGCCATTCACTAGAGTGTAGCAGTCTAGCAGAGAATAGCAGCACGCTGATGCTCCTAAGTGTTGAGAATAAATATAATATCTTCAATATGCATAATTCACAAGTAGTTAAAAGTAAAATCAATTGCACCTCCATCCACATAGGAGCGTACAGTCATGAAGCAAAGCTGTTTTTGTAACTTCAAGCAGAGGCTTTTTTACATCTTCCTGCGATCAATAAGAAAGCATCGGAGAAATGTCACGTACTTTGTGTAGACAATATAACAGATATAATTGAATTATACATTTCTAGATAGATCATTGGAAAACAAACTTAAATAGATGCTGTAGAAGTTTGGATAAGTGCCTGACCACATCAACATGGCATAAAACCACACGAAGCTTGAAATTCTTCTGCAACTCCCTTATTCTATAATACAAGTAATCCGGATGCAGAAGATGATAGCGAAGACTGCATTAAACCATCCACCTAAGTCAAGTTGATGCATAAATATAACTTCATTTAAACCAACTAGCAGAACAATAACTTGTGAGATATCCAAGTACCCAACCACACACGGGTAACAAGGAATCTAGAAAAATGAGCAGTTCCACATGCATGATGATAACCAGAAAACATAATTATACCCTAAATTGAGCCATGTGATATGAATTTTTTTTCCAGTGATGAGAGATAACGTGTAATTATTCTACACACACGGCACTGTAATATTGACAGAGCACGCAGCAGGAGTTCCATTGTTGATTGACGATTTGATATGCATTTTCAACAATGTTTTTTTTTCCAGCCAAATTTTAACTAATGGAATTTATAATAGAAAGCACAAATGACTGCAACGAACAAACTCCACAACAGCTAGTGTAGCAGTACCTCTAAATTCACCAGAGAAACAAACAAGTGTAAACAACAATAGCAAAAAATAAGCAGAGACGAAAGTAACCTGAGATAGAGAGCACAGGAGCTTTGGCCAAGCAAGTAGTCACAAACAATATCAGCAAACGCCCATCTAACATTCCTAATGTGTTTAAGCAAGGGATTTCCCTTCTGCAAAACGGAAAAGAAAATTCACTTAGAGACACTAATAGAAAAACCTTAACAAACTTATTTCCAAAGTCATGCAGGACAAAAATGAACATAAGCATTTAACTAGAATGCCATGAAACCATAGTGATTGTCATATATAGTCATTATTTTCACTTTTATACTCACATGATTTCTAATTGATTGACAACTTCAAAATATTCACTAACAACACATGAAAAATAAAAATTATATGGATTGGACCTGTCTGTGGCTGACGAGAATTGAATTGCGACTTTGAGTGTGGTGAGAGGACGGTAACGTTGATGAAGCTGCAGCAGCAGGAGATGATGTCGACGTTGAAGATGGAGCGTCGGATTGACTAGTTTCCCTGATCAAAATCAAATCAATTAACGCGAAGCGAAAAGAAGAATAACGGTGATGGTAAGAACATTTGAGATGCAGAAATGACAGGCGTGTGTACCTTGAAGGTGGAGGAGGAGGAGGAGCGTAGAACTCGGAGGATTTGACGAACGCGAAAGCTTGGGAGAATGTTTGGGAGGGAACGAAGAGAGAAGATGGAGTGGATTTGGCCTGCGAACTTTCAACGACTTCTTGATAAGAAGGTATTCTTATGACCACCGAACTCTTCTTCTTGTTTGCATCATTGTTTTGCTCTTCTTCCTCCCGCTGATTCTGCATCTTTCTTTCTCTGCTTGCGTCTTCACTCTTGAGTTCGCGCGAACTTGCTCGGACTCGGTTTTCATGCTTCTGTTGGGCTTGTTGAGGCCTCATTGGAAGCTTTGGGCCTCTGATGGGCCGCGTAAAAGACCGTGCTATGATTAAATAAATAGAAATGATTTGTGGGAAAAGCTAGTGTGGGTTTGTTTATGAATCTAATGCCTTGTTGTGATTCTCCTTTGGGACATGTAGGTTTCTTTTTGTAAGAGAAAAGGGGAAAAGAAAGGTTGCTTTTGCTTGCAAAACACTGCACCCCGTGGCTAAAGTAAATAGGATGGGACTGGTTATAGTATTTTCAACAAAGAGAGCATCTTGACAAGAACCAAGCTAGACTAGGAGATACGAACCATTTCCTATCCGCCTTTCTCCTTCAACCTCCAACGTAGGTCATCAAAGTCCTTTTCTTTTCTTCTTCTTTCCACTAAAGAGTATAAATCTTATATATATAAAATAATAATAATAATAATAATAAATAAGTCTATCTTTTTCTATATTCATATTTATGACATTTATTTATATTTTATAAAAATTCAATAATTATTTTTTTTATTAGTGTTCTAGTTACAAGAAATTGTCTATAAATAATCTCACCACAACTACAAGAGCATTCAAAAGTGAATTTTTAGTCCGGAAATTGTCAGAAGACACTCTTGTTATGATTAACCATTCAAAGGTAAGTCTTTTTTCATAGTTTGAGCTAGTCGATGATTATTTAAATTAGAGTTTCTATCTTAAAGTTCAAACTCACAAAATTATCATAGAAATAAATATAAGATGAGTGTTACTAATACATTCCTTTTAACACATTTTTATTAAGTATAATTGCTTGTAGTGGAATTCGTTTTTGAGTTCTTTTTATTTGAACTAGCATGCAATGGTTTCAATTTAGGTATTTATAATTAAATTTTCTTAAGAACAGAGATAGACGCAACAGTGACTAATAAGCGCTTGTTTCTAGATTTTCATTAATGATTATAAAGCAATAATTATCATGTATGTAAACACTCAAATAAACAGAATGAACAATATATATATTGGCAATACGAATCATTGTCCACTTCGCATAATGATCAGGTTACAATATCAGCATTAAACGAACTAATAACTATGAAATTTAAACGAAACTACACTAATCCTAGGAAAAGAAAGAAAATGTGGCCAAGAAGTTGTCATACCCAGCAATTCCATGCACGAGAGCATATGCACAGGCGATGAGTGCTTGAGAGTGCAAGTATGATTTTTCCGACCCTTGTGAAGTAATATGCTTTTCATATTTATAGAGTCAGTCGAGAGCGGTTAATTTTGCATGGGTCCATCGTGGGTGTGTAACCACTGTTCACTACGCCCATTACGTGGCTTAAACGTAACTTCTCGTAACCTTCAACCCACGTGATTTTATTTCTTCGACTTGCTAGCTTAGTTTAGTAACCACCTTGGTGTAACTACCCAAAAAACTGCTCAAGAAATCTCTTAGTAACGTTTCTATTTTCTAAATTTTGATTTTCCATCGAATATGCATATTCCTATGGTCCCCCCTGCTCTCTGCTTATGGCGAGCACCCTTTTTGATTCTTTTTTGAGTGAATTCTGAGAGAACTTCTTCGAGAGACCCTAACAATAATTTATTAAAAGCTGTAAAATTAAAAAAGATAGTCAATAAATAAAGTGTGTGACTCACAAAATTTTATATTTAACCAATTAGAGAGAGTGTGTAAAAAAGGCATTAAACATAATATATAATGTATGAGTAAGTTCAAAACCAAGAGAATATACAATCCTTCAATCTTAAGTCAAAAAGACAAATAGGGTTTAAAAGACTAATATAATTGAGATATGATCTATTTAAAATCAAGAAAGTACAATTAAAAGAATATATTTTAATATGTGAATTTCACAACTTAAATTTTTATTATATACAACTAAATTTTATAATAAATTATATTTAAAATTTGTAGAAATAAATATTCTTATACATATAAATTATATTTTTTATTTAAAATCATATTGTGACATAAAATTATTTTTAATTTTTGATAATTTATTTTAAAAATATTTAATTTTAATTAATAAGTAAATATTAAAACTAAAAAAAATTAAAAATAAATTAAAAGAAACCTTAAAAACACTCTCATTAAAATATAACCCTTAAAAATCCTTTTGTATAAAATAATGGTCCACAATTAATACGTTGATTTATAGGAAAAGCATGAGTTTCTTTCCCATCCCCTCTTGAGCCATCAATCTATCATAACCATTAACCAACAATATATACACGACACCACAAACGTCACATCTCATCCTACGAAAAACAAAACAAAAATTGTTGTTACAAGTCTGATGTTTTGAAAATTGGCAGTGCAAATATTTTCTACTACAACCAAATATTAACCGATTAAAGTTTCGACAGATGTTCACGTTATCCTTATCCGTGGGTTGGCAGCGATTGAAAGATACATTAAAGAGAAGCACCAAGGAATGGGTGGGTGGCTGCTACCAAGTGTTCTGTGCACTGGTAGTTGGAAACTTTGAATGTCAAAATTAAAAGCACTCCTTCATGGCTCGCTTTAATGTTCGAGGACAATTTGATTGAATTAACGCAAGAAATTAAGCATTGGGAACAAAGAGATGCATTAATCAATGATAAAAATGTTTCAATTTCTTTTGTAGCTGTGCCAATAACTGTTGTACTAATTACTGAGGCTAATTAAGAAGAGGAACGTGCCCAATTAATTAATACTCCACTTTATAAGCACCCCTCCCAATATCTACCAAACATAATTGAGAGGCTTTAAAATTCATTTTGTCTTACTTGGCAGCTAGTTAAACCCAATAACCACATTTCACATTTGTTGAACGTTTTGTTGCCTCTTGGGGTTGGAAACTCAGTGGGCCCCAAATATCTTGGAAACTTCGAACAACGAAAACAGTTGGATAGAATACTCCTAATCGCCAACAAGACTATGCTTTGAACAGAGTTCACAATTTTAAATCCAATTCAAATTAGAGGGCTAAAAAACATGGATTTTATACTAATAAGTTGTTGACCTGCTTCCTGCATATGAGATAATTTGGTATGTTTCAAAAATTTGGACAAATTTTTCGATGATTATAATTTAAAAAAAACTAAAATTAGATTATGTGTCATTCAAGTCTTCAACTAATTAAATATGTTTAAATTTAGATTCTTTATGTTTTTTTCACTCAAACTTAAAGGATTATGTATCATAAAAACTTTCAATCGTTCGAACAAACTAAGTAAAATATCATATGATTTTAACCTACAATCTCTTATGATGGCGGTTAATCATCGATTAACTTTTTATTGAACAAGATGTCTTGATTTATAGAGACTTGAACAATTATGATCATAAATATTAAGATTCATAAAATATTTTACTATTAATAATAATGATATAACATAATTTATGAAATTATAGTAAAAGTGATTGATTTATTACTTCAAGAATATAACTCTTCCCCTTCAATTTTAAAGAAAATCAGTTTTATACCCACTCAATATTCTAAACCAAAACTATTTTTAGGATTTTATTAAAGAAGGTTTCCTGGCCAACTAGATTCATATCCTTTTAAATTGTTTTTAATGAGTCCTTATACCTTAACACTAATTATTTTTTGTTAAATTATAGTAATTTATTTAAAAATCTAGTTATGTTGTTTATAAAATAAGTTGCTAGAGTTTGTTTTTAATTTTTTTTTAGATAGGTGCATGTAGTTTAGTAAATAATGACTTACTAAAAGAAGGTATTTTCGAAGCATATATATGAACCAATTTTTTAACATAATTTTTGCAAATGAAAAATAGGATAAAGGGAGTTGGAGAAAGCATTAGCCAAGAAAGTGAATAGCACAAAGTTGGATTGAGAGGGCAGATTAAAGTAAAAGTAGATGGGAATGGTGGTTGTGGTTGCAGACAAATGTGAAATGAATATATACTGAATTTGTGGCGAGTTTTAGAAGAAAGTTTTTGGTAATAGAAACACAAACGTGGCTTCAGTTCTTGTCTCCTTCGCAATCTCAATATTAGTATTACTGAAAAAGCACATGATTCTCTTCCACTCTTCTACATGCCAACTTAGCAGCACATATATTACATATACATACAGCCATGGGACCCAGAAAAATCATTGAACCGACACAGACACATTCTTTCTTAACTCGAATAAGAATGTAGCTGGAACAAAAAATTATAAAACAATTCACCCTTTATTCTCCAATATGTGCATGCAAATGCAACGTTCTCGGTGTGGACAAAGAAGAGTTATCGTGATTTTTTCTTATTACCTGTAAAACAAAATAACAAAGTAGTACACGTGATGGAGAATTCTTTTAAAAAAAGTTTTCGACATCCTATTTTCTAATTAAACATGCTATAATATTTCCCTTATTGTGGACTCATCAAAGGCTAGTTATGGCTGATTCAGATCGGGTGAAATCATAAAATGTTTCGTGCCACGTGAAATGATAAAATATACGGATTCGAGAGAAAGAATTAATGTGTTTCTTACAAATATAAAAAATACACTGGGCACTGTGAACCATTTCAAAATTAAGTTAACCAAAATGTGTATTCGAAGAAAACAATCTAACAAAAATAAAATACAAATTTCGTTATTGAAATATCAAATAATAATTAAATTAACACGGCATTTAATATATTATATAAATTGTTTTATTTACATTTTTTAGCCTTCTCTATGTACACAAATTTTTTTTAAAAATAAAATAAAAATGATATTCTTATTTTAATTATAAAAAAACTATCTTAAGAAGCGAATTATGAAACATAATAAGACAAATTTACTTATTTATCATTGATATATTATATACACTATATTATGATCTAATCTCTCCATACTAGTCAATCTCTTATTTGTTATTCTACCCAAAAAAAATCTATTTATTTATTATTGATACTTGATTCTGCCTTTTTAATAAAAACTATTGTGTACTGATTTTCTTTTTTTTTTATCACTTTTACACCAAAAAAAAATATATGGAACTATACTATTCAATAAAAATAAATTAATATTTGATTCAAGTGACGTATATTTTAGTTTCTTTTAAATAAGTGATATAAAATAATAAGTTTTGAGCTACTTTTACTTCTTAAGTGAGTTCAATCACTTAATTATTCAAATCACTAGAATTAGTTTAATGATCAAGAAAAATGTTAAAGTATGAGTAAGAGAATTTATATTCAATTTTTGTCACGTCATCTTTATAATATTTTTTATAAATAAAATAATTATTTAATTATTAGAGACTCTCAATGATTTTTAGATATAAAAAATTATTATAGTGTCAAATCAAAATATATTTATTACTTTGTTCTATAATTTGATTAAAATATTTTGATGCTCTCTAAGAATTAGACTAATAAGATGTGAACACTTGTCCACCTCTATCAAATCAATAATAAAGGATAATTTTTTAAATATTATTTTCATCTCTTAGGAATTTATGCGCAAATTTTTATGTTAGAGTTTTGTTTCAATTTGTCCACTTCTGATTCTAAGTAATTGAATTCCAAAATAAATTCAATAAACCTACCGCATATCTCGTTAGCTTGATAAGGAATTTTCCCAATGGTTGACTTTTAATCTGAGCAAAGTCAAAACAAATATAAAATCTAGTGAAGTATTTGAAAGACTATTGAATGAATCATAAGACTCGATCAATTTGAATGAAATCAATTCAAGCAAATTGTGGAATTTTTTATTTTGGTATGGTTGTTGGATTGAGGTAATTATAAGGAGTTAGTACATGGGAAAAAGAATTGGAACAATAAGTTATTACAATGTTTAGATCATTTTTCAAATATTTGGACAAAAGGATAGATTATACATTTATACTCCGTAGGTGAAGCATTTAGTGAAGAATTAAAGTCACGTAGAACATGAGGTGTTCTTGTTGAAATGATTGTCAATGTTTATTTTCCCAACTAAATCACGCCACGAGACATTTAAAAAAAAAACGTTTTTTGTATTGCAATACATCAACTTAGAGGGATTAAAATTACTCTAATAGATTTTTTCACTTGATGTTTTAGCAATAAGCATTTATACTTATAGGAATGTGTTTATCGAAAAACGAAAATTGTACGTAGAATATATAATTAATGGAAGTGCATGTAATGACTAATGACGGTTAATGTTAAAATCGATTCATGTCTGATTTTATGTCAAGGTTGGTGCTAATATGAAAATTTATTATATATACTCATAAGTATGAGATGATCAGGAAGTTTAATGAAAAACATAAGTAGCAGCAACATATTGTGGCACCCTAAATCTCAAAATAGAGAAGAAAAGTACCATAAATATATATTCTGTAGTTGATTGATAAAATATACAATTAAAATTAATTTGTAAATACTCTATATATAGAGCTTATTATATCCAACAATTATCTTTAAGAAACTAATAGTATACAGTAAAAACTAACTAATTTTCTAACGAACTAATTACTCTTGCAATCTTCATCCTTTTTAATCAAAACTTTTCTTTCTCATTTTTTATTTAATTAGTAATGAATAATTCTGAAAGTTAATCTCAAATTATTAATGTGAAGGATTTTTATTTTATTTTTTCATATGAAACATGTCAGGGCTATTTTTCTTACTGCTGTGGATATTTTATTTTATTTTTTGGATTTACATGGCGTCATCTATTATAGTATTATGGACTTTTCTTTCTTTCTTTTATTATTATTATTATTTTTATCGTTTTCCAAAAGAACTCGTTAGTCTGAACGCGATACGTACCGTGCATGCCAGATTTGTTTGCTTTTCTAATTTCCGGCTGCGCATTCACTTTTTTCGTTTATTTTCTTTCTGATAACTGAGTTTGATGACAAAGTTTATGACTTACCAAATTATCATGATTCAGAATTCCAGCTACTCATCTTCAAGGAAAAGCAAATGTGCAAAATATTATACACATCTTACAAATTTTAAATTAAAAAAAAAAAAAAAAATCGTGGCTGAATTTTTCGTTTGATAGATACATCACAAATTGAAGTCTTGCAAGGGCGAAAAGTCAAACAGATTCCACAGTAGGCGGCGGCGGCGGCGGCGCAGCGGAGGTTCCCGCGTCGGCGGCGTTATTCGCCACCCTGGGAGACCTAATTGACGATGCTCTAACTAAGAAAGGCGGCGCCATCGTGAAAACCCACCGGTCCGACTTAAATCCCCGGTCCAAAAGCCTCGAAGACCTTCCTCGACTACTTCCCTCGCCGGTTCGGTAACCCCGCCGCGAACTACTCTCTGTCGGTAAGATAACCAAACTTCTCGCCCGTTGCAACTGAGGGTTCAGTAGTATTTGTTTTCTTACTTCCTCGGGAAGCCTTAGAGTGAACCGTTCGGTATCTTGGCCCGGTTGGATAAGAGAATGACCGGTCGAGTGAGAACGCGGGAAACGACGAGGGCGGCCCGACCGGGATCCTCTGGTGCGGTTCCGGTTCAGCGTCTGGTTCAAGCACAAGACCTGCGGGGGTTCTTCCGTGGAGTCTTTAAGTTCAGGGGCGGGGGGCTGGACGGGGTCGAGTTGGGCCTCGGTTTGGGCCTCGCTCTGTTGGGCTTGGACGTCGGGGAAAATCGGAAGGCCGTGGAGGGACTCACCGGGCTCGGGAACGAGATTGGCGCGGCAAACGGGGCACGTGGTGTGGGAGCCAAGCCACTCGTCGATGCACTCAGGGTGGAAGACGTGGTCGCACTTGGGGATCAAACGCAGCGTTTCGGTGTCCTCGAACTCGTTTAAGCACACCGCGCACTCCAGGGTCCCCTTTCCGATCTTGTGGATCTTGACCGCGGAGTACTCGAGCGTGGGGAAGGTGGCGATGACGGCGGCGTCGAGGCCTCGCGAGGCGCGCCTGGACCTGC